AGACCTCACTGTTCACTTGGCCCAAACATCACTCTTCCCTTACCTAAAACTTCCTGTTTCCTAACCCAAGACTTAACTGTTCACTTGGCCCAAACACCACTCTTCTCTAACCTATATCTATCTTTGTCCTAACCCAAGACTTAACTGTTCACTTGGCCCAAACCTCACTCTTCCCTTATCTAAAACTCCCTGTTTCCTAACCCAAGACTGCAGTGTTTGCTTATCCATATAACCTCATTCTTCTCTAAGCTAAATCTCCCTATTTCCTAACCCAAGACCTCACTCTTCCCTCATCTAAAACTCCATTTTTCCTAATACAAGACTTCACTCTTCCCTTACCCAAAACTCCCTCTTTCCTAACCCAAGACTTCACTCTTCACTTGGCCCAAAACTCACTCGTCCCTTGCCTAAAACTTCCTGTTTCCTAACCCAAGACCACCTGTTCACTTGGTCCAAACATCACTCTTCTCTGACCGACATGTATATCTATCTCTTTCCTAACCAAAGACTTCACTGTTCACTGGGCGCAAACCTCACTCTTAAATTTCCTTACCTAAAACCTGTTTCCTAACTCAAGACCTCATGCACTCTTCCCTCACCTGAAAACTTCCTTTTTTTGTAACTTAAGACTTCACTGTTCACGTGGCACAAGACTTCACTGTTTACTTGGCCCAAAATCGATCACTCTTCCCATACCAAAAACTCCCTGTTTCCTAACCCAAGACTGCAGTGTTTGCTTATCCCTATAACCTAATTCTTCTCTAAGCTAAATCTCCCTATTTCCTAACCCAAGACCTCACTCTTCCCTCATCTAAAACGCCCTGTTTCCTAACACAAGACTTCACTGTTCACTTGACCCAACCCTTACTCTTCCCTTACCTAAAACTTCCTGTTTCCTAACTAAAGACCCCACTGTTTACTCAGCCAAAACCTCACTCTTCCATTACCTAACCTCCCTGTTTCCTAACCCAAGACCTCACTGTTCACTTGGCTCAAACCTCACTCTTCCCTTACCTAAAACTCCCTGTTTCCTAACTCAAGATCTCACTGTTCACTTAGCCAAAAACTCCCGGTTCCCTAACTTCAAATCTTAAATTCCTGTATATTCCTAACCTCAATAATCCCTCAACCAAAGCCTCACTGTAGCTTATACCACACTGTTCCCTCAGCAACTGGTCATAAATCTAGTCTGTCTAATGCACATCCACTTAACTATTAGATCATGAACATTCACACAAATTTTATAATTTTTAAGTAATTTATTGTACAGAGTGAGAATACATATCTGGTTTCATAATAAGGTACAAAACTAGACACTGGTAAAAAAATATCTTACTACGAAGTGCAACATATGGCACTAGGCACTGGTAAGTAATTATCACTCACCATGAGGTGCAATATATGCAACATTATAACACATCACTCGTTAATACTGTACTGTAATTGGTCAAAACAGAATCATGTGTTATTGGCTAAATTACCATAGTAGCGCCAGGGAAATTACTAGTTCCCTAGGGAGACTTGTACATCAACTAGTGCCCGTAACTCGTCACCTGATTGTGTGATTTTCATTATGTCGTCTGCTAGTTTGGTCGCTGATATCGATGTCCGCCTTGAAAGACAGGACGATTTAGCTTCAGTTCAGAAGAAGAACTTGACACATTAGTAAAAAATAAAGATGCACCGAAGACGAAGGACGCAATCAAGTTTTCTAGAAGCGTCTTTACATCGTTTTGAGAAGAAATCGAGACACCACTAGCAGACGTTCAGAAGAACTTCTTAGACGGCAGACGATCTATGCACGTTCCTAGTATGAATGTGTAATGTGTTATAAAACACATATTGCATGGCCTAATTCGGGCAGTTCCCTCATGGCCATGCAATATGTGCTTACTAGGCACTGGTAAGTAATTACTACTCACCATGAGGTGCAATATATGCAACACTAGGCACTGGTGGTAAGTATTTTAGAAGTAAGTAGCAAAAGACTAGCTACTGGTAAGTAATTATTACTTACCACACGTCCCTGGAATCCTCGCTTTCCATGGTGTCCAGTTCGTCCTGTTTTACCCTAGAATCAAAATCAAGTTACCAGTATATCAATATTATTTTTTGACATTTGTGAAATTATTATATTAAGACACCCAAAAAATGTAAATCAAAAGCAGTATGGCAGCCATATCAACTCGATGCTTAAATCTGCTGTGATACAAGAAGAGTTTTGTGATTTGGCTCTGAAGTTGTACATGCACGTTAAACAAATTATATTTCAAGTTGAAGAACTATGGTCTGTTATTGCTCTATTTGATTCTGATTAACATTGACTCCAGCACCTGAGAATTATCAATGCGATACAATGGTGAATAGACTATGTAATATGGACATGCACACCAATGTGTTTGGTAAAAAAGTAATCAGTTTATGTTTAATATGTGAAAATAGATTTTTTACCAACAATTACAAACAAATTCAATAAAATTGGTATTGTCACAAAATGAGCAAATCTCACTAAGATCTATTCAAGGTGCGTACATATAAAATATCAAAGCAATCAGGCTAGCTGTTTTCAACAACAAAAATAAAAAAAGTACTTTTTACCAAAAATGAGAAAAATATTCATCAAAATCTTCACAAAATGAACAAATCTTAGAGAGGCTTTCCAAATTAAAGTACATATAAACCAAGTATCAAAGCAAGAAGACTGCCTGTTTCCAAAAAGAAGTTGATAATGTTAAGTTGATGTTCAGGAATGATGGACGTCCACAGACAATCAGTAATATGAACTGCTTTGTTGATAGTGGGCTCATGTTTTACTGGTGCTTGCAAAGATTACAATTCCATTACTGATACTCTTCTGAAACATCAAGTCAAATATTTAAACTTAAAAACCCATGAACCAATCACGATGACAAAACTATACCAGTCAGCCATTTTGAATGAGAAGTTACTGCTTGTATAACATTATATGACAAGTATAATTTTAACTGGTTTCAAAACGGTGGAAATGTTTGATGAATGCATGTACATCTGCCAATATGTAAAATCTAACGAAATTATAGAAATATTTGAACATGATTGGTCCATAAATGTCCAAAATATAGATCTACAAAAGCATTCATTAAAACAAAAATGACCACTAGTTGGCCATTTTGAATCCAATCTACTGAACAAAATAATGTGCATCAAGGTCCTAAAATGTACTTTTGAATGAAATGAGACAATGAACAATAACAAAAAAGAAAAGCTTTATATTCAGTTATTTAATTATAAAAAACTGAAAATGAATTGTTGCAAAATCAAATTATTCTTAGTAAAATTGTACCTTGATACCTGGAGGTCCTGGTTCTCCTCTTTCACCTTCTGGTCCTTCTGGCCCTTCTGGTCCCTCAGGACCAGGATCACCTGTTTCACCAGCCTCACCTTTTTCCCCCTAGGATAATGTAATAGTGTTTTAAAATACAAGGTTACCTGGTAATATGAAATTACCACAAATTATATGTACCTGACACAACACTGATTCTTAGTTATCCAGCGATTCCATAGTGCAACTTCATGGATCGGGGCATCCTGAGTGCCAGCAAAAACTTAAATCATGTAATTGGTGACATTAACTGACTTTCCGCTGCATTCAGCAATGTGACTTCATCACATGCTACAATGACATACAATTAAGTAACACATAAAGTGCATTTGAAAGAAGGAATATTGCATAACCGCATCATTTTTGACATCCATACAGCTAATAATTTTTTAAGAAGAATCAAAAATGAAAAGTTGACAACAACAGATGACAATAGACATTCAGTAATATGAACAGCTCCAAGCTGTTGACTTTGACAACAGTCAGGCTAAAAAATAGACCAGAAATAGATGTGTTTTTTCAATGAGTCCCTTTTTTGACGTAAGTAATGCAATTTAGAAAAACATGTTAAGTTACATAGTGGCTCATCATTCAGTAAACTTCAATGATTGATAAATTAATAGTTGAAATGCAGACTGAACACCAGTCACACAATAAATGCAATAAATGAACATCCCTTTTCATACATGTACCTCACTCCACTAACCTATCATTCGTCTGAATCAAGATTCACAAAAGCTAATTATCATACTCCAAATCCATACTATTTTGAAGTGATTTCCATAGCAACTTCCCCAATCCCTTGCATTACTGTGTTTAAAAGGGTCATTTCAGCTCTTAAGCCATTTTCAAAAGGGAAGGCTTCTACAAACGGAAAGCTTCAGGAGCCAAAACCATTCAATAGCAGTAGTATAACTATTAATAGAAGTTGGTTATCCACTAACATTCAGATGCAAATTGAATACTGCATACTTATTCTTTATGGCGATAGCCAAGTAACTTTCTGATGATTACCGGTAATAACTAGAAGTCGACAAACTAACAATAGCAATTGGTCATCATTAGCATTCACATGCAAATTGAATACTTAATCTTCATAATAATGGCTAGGACATTTAGAAGGTTTACTGAAGGGTAAAATAGCCTTCAAGCTTTGTAATGGATATTGCATGCTTTTCAAGCAGAACATCATGTAATAACAAAGTTTGATTGTGATTTTTTATAATCACTTTTCACATGTTCTAGTCAAATTTTCACATGCGATACGAAACCTTATCCCTTCAAGGAAGTTTACCCATGGTTGTTTGAGATTATTACCTTTTCTCCCTGTTTTCCAAGAGCTCCATCTCTACCATGGTAACCAGCACGTCCTTCCTTTCCGGCAAGACCAATGCGACCTTTTTCACCTTTAGGACCAGGTGGACCCTAAAATAAATGAAAGTTTAGCAAATGAGAACAGTTTTATTGACAAACTTGACAATTACTTAAACCATATCACTGAGCCTGCATAACAAAATGTTAACACAAAAATTAAATTTCAGTGAAGAAGTAGGTAAATGCCGTTCCATCCCAAAAAAACACTTTTTCAAGAATTCAGGGCTTGCAAAGTACTTTGTTAAACATTAATAACTGTAAAAGTTTTGGAGGTAATAACATCATACATTGTATTTATCATTTGAAAAGCATGTAATACAAATTTTACAGCCAAAATACAGGCATTTGAGAGATTGCGAATATAGAATATTCAAAATGAATGATCTTCTGCACTTGAGGGCAATTAAATACATATATTTAGTCAATATTATATAAATGACTTTTTGGATGCGAGAAGTGGATCATGAAGATATCTATAGACAATGTATAATTTTTGAATTCTCTGGATACTGATTGCAGATTTGATGATAGAAAAGAAAATTGCTATTTTATAATAAGCCATTTGTAGTGAGTTTGTCTGTCACAGTTACTCCTCAGAAATATCTTGTATATATTTTTGATAGCCAGAGGTATAGAGAATCTAGCAACCAGAAAACCTGAAACCTGGCTATAATGTATGCCCAGTTCTACTTTCAAAGCAGAATAATTGTAGGCATCAGCAAATCTGGGGATGGTAGATTATTGATGAATATATGTATGTGCCAATTTAGTTAAGTTTCATGTGTCACTGATTAATATGCTATACAAATGTATATCGCCTAAAGCCTAATGCTTTTAGAAAAAAAAATGCTTATTTCACTCACTCATTTAACTCACTCATAAACAAATGAAAATCTCATTTGTTATTATAAAAAAATCACTTAACAAGAATTTAAATTTTTCAATATAGTAAACGGAAGCAGGAGTGGTCTAATCAGCATGCAATAAAAAAGTAGCTTACAGGATTCCCACGTGGTCCTTTTGGTCCACGATTAGCTAGATCACCATGAAGTCCTTCTGGACCGGGTTCTCCTAAAGGTCCTGGTTCACCAGGTTCACCTCTTTCACCCTAAAAATAACGAAAATATATTCTCCAGATTACAACCATGAAAACAAATATCAGAAGTACAGGTCCACATATCGTTATTTTTTATTATTAATAATCACATTTGAAACAAAGCAAAATTTAGTCAACATACCGTGATTTACATCACATAAGTGGTGTTCTCACTAGACGAAATACGCCGTTGTCACAATACCTTTTATTTGAGAACGTTGTTAAAAGGTATGTGTGAACAGAATACGCCGTTGTGGCGCCAGCGTTTTTGACACCGATTAATCGATCGGCTTTGCTTTCTTCTCGAGCGTTAAAAAACAGATGGGAAAACAGAAACAAAGCAAATTATCAGAGGGGACGCCATTGACGTTTCGATTGTAGATTGACCTTTCCA